CCCCGAGGCATGGGCCGAGCGTCCCCCACACACGGACAGCTCGAGAGCATCGGGTTTTGGTGCCGTCTCGAAACCGAAGCCGTGAGTCACGAACACCAAAGGGCCAATGACGTTCAGTCTCTGCTGAAGCCCTGTTTCCTCACGACACGGCAGCACACGTGTGGAAAATGGGTAAATAAGGGGCGTCCGGGGGGCTCAGTCAGTTAAGCGTCTGACCCTTGATTTCAGCTCAGGCCCTGATGGCTGGTGGGTTCGAGCCCCGCACTAGGCTTTGGGACCCTCTCTCGCCCCCACGAGTACGCTCTCTTTCTCTCAAGATAAATAAACCTTAAAAAATAAATAGAATGGGTAAATAAAGCTTAATTACTCAAAGGAGACAAATGCAGTCACCTGGAAAATTCGCTACGTAAAACACCTCAAACCCTACCAATAGCACATAATTCAATGTCACTTTTTACCAAAATTCAGATTTACCAAAAACCCAATTAATTAGACGACTAACCACAGTGTCTCCTTACTAAGAAAACCCCTAGTGGGGCACCTGGGTGGCTCAGTCAGCTGGGCGTCCGACTTCGGCTCAGGTCATGATCTCACAGTTCGTGAGTTCGAGCCCCGGGTCGGGCTCTGGCTGACAGCTCGGAGCCCGGAGCCTGCTTCAGATCCTGCGTCTCCCTCTCTCTCTGCCCCTCCCCCGCTCATACTCTCTCTCGCTCTTTCTCAAAAATAAATAAAGATTTAAAAAAATGTTTTTTAATTAAAAAAAAAAAAAAAAAGAAAATTAAACACCAAATCACCACATGATCCATTTCTGGATGTATATCCAAGAGAATCCAAAGCGGGACCTCAGGGAGCTACTTGCACACCCATGTTCATTGCAGCCTTCCTCCCGACAGCCAGGACGTGGGAGCACCCCAAGGGCCCACTCACAGAGCAATGGACAAACAAAATGTGTGCCATCCCTACAAGGAAATATTATGCAGCCGTAAAGAAGGAAATCCCATCACACCTGACCACCTGGCTGGAGTTTGAGCTTAGGATTCTCTCTCACTCTCTCTCTGCCCCTCCCCTGCTCTCTATCTCAAAACGAATAAATAAATCTGAATTCTTTTTTAAAAATGGTTAAGAGGGCGCCTGGGTGGCTCAGTCGGTTAAGCGTCCGACTTCAGCCAGGTCACGATCTCGCGGTCCGTGAATTCGAGCCCCGCGTCGGGCTCTGGGCTGATG